CACAGAGGCCTGATCTGAGGCGTGTGTGTGTGTGTGTGTGTGTGTGTGTGTGTGTGTGTAGGACGACAAGCTTTATTTCCCACCTCAAGGAACACAGATCTGGGGTGTGGGACGCTGCAGCCTCCGATATGCCCAGTGAGGTGAGAAGGGCAGCGCAGTGACCCTCTAGCCCGCCCCTCCCCGGTCTGGCTGGAGCCCCTCCAATGCCTGCCCGTTCCCTGGCGGGTATGGTCTCCTTCCCTTTGCCGCCCCCCGCCACCATACATACACATACACAGCCACCTTGGGGTCTTGCCCCCCACCCACCTGGGGGGTCTCACCCCTCCCCACATAGCCATCTTGGGGCCTCACCCCCCCACACACAGCCACCTTGGGGCCTCACCCTCCTTTCCTTCACACACATAGCCACCTTGGGGCCTCACCCCCCCCCACACACACACAGCCACCTTGGGGCCTCGTCCCCCCCACACAGCCATCTTGGGGCCTTGTCCCCCCCACATAGCCACCTTGGGGCCTCACCCTCCTTGCCTGCTCCCCCACACATAGCCTCCTTAGAGGCTCAACCCACCTACGGAGGGAGACTGAGCACAGGAGTTGGCACAGACAAGGCTGAGAAGGTGCAGGCCCAACCCTGGCCTGGAGCTCCCACCCACTGCCCCACACCTCCCAGGGGAGAGGGCACCATGCCAGCAACAGCCACGCTGGGGAGATGGGGCAGGGTTTAAGGCTGAGTGTCCAGGAGCAGGGGGCACGCAGGCCTCAGTTAAAAAATCGCTCAAGGCCTATTCCAGAATCCAGAGTCCAGCAGCATAGGGTGCTGGCCATCATGCAGGCGCACCAAATCACTCATATGCTGGTGCTGACACCCCAAAGAAGGTCTTCATTCAGCAACTGTGGCTTGAGCACGAATCCAGAGCCACGCACTGCTGCGACAGCCTTAGCCCGGGGTCACGTGTCAAAGGGCTGGACACAGCTTACCACCTACTGAGGGGGTCTAGGTGGCAGACCAATGCGTGCCTCAGCCCCAGGGTCTGAAAACTGCCTGCTGCAGGGTCGCATGATTGGGCTTCCAAGGGGAACAGCGGAAAACCGAACAAAAGGTCCAGCGAAAGACAAGTAGCAGGAGAAATCCCTCTGCAGGGGAGGAGGGTTGAGGGGTACAGAGATCAAAATGGGAGGGAAGAGCACAAGGGACGGGCTGATGGGTCACGGGGGCTGTGGTGGGGAGAACAGGGACCACACCTGAGGGGAGAAACCCAACAATCTGAGAACATACAAGGAAGTTAAGAAAATAAAAAAACGAAACTGCAGCAAGGGAAGAGACAGAAGCAGCAGGGACGCTGGGCTGAGGGGGCCAGAGCAGGCCTGCAGCAAGGTGGCGCTTCAGCAGCCCTGAAGGGGGAGGGAGGGAGGCAGCAAAGCAGGGGGTTCTGGGCGAGCACATTGGGCACAGAACACCCCCAGGAGGGGACAGAGGGCAGCAGGGCGGAGGAGGGTCAGAAAAGCCTAGTCCGGCGGGGAGGGTGGGGTGCACAGGGCTTTCCAGGTTCCAAAGAAGTCTTTGTTCTTTTTGAGCAAGGATGGTGTTGGGGGCTGGGGTGAGGGGCACAGAGAGGAGCAGATGTGGGAGCTAACGCCTGGCAGGGACTGCGGACTCTGAGGACAGGCTGGGGGCAGGGGCCACCTGACGCTCGGTTCTGCGTGACAGGTATGTGGCTTGAGCCAGAGTGACGGAGGCACAAGTGACGCGCCCAGTGCCAGCTACCTTCTGAAGGTCAAGCCGACCTGAGTGTTAGCATTGGAGGGGAGGGCTGGGGACACAGGGCGGAAAAGAGCAGTCAAAGATGACGCCGCGTGAACATGGCTGGGAGGGGAGATGGAGCCGACCTGGGACTTAGAGGTGCAAGGGCAACTTTGAGCCACCATGTGGGTCCTGGGCTGACCAAGTCTGGCACTCGGAAGAGGCTGACCATAGCTACCACTCTGGACGTTTCAAGTGTGGAAATTCTATTCATAGCCGAAGATTTGGGTAAGATAAGCAAAAGGAGCTGGATTTTAGAGAAGCAAAGCCGCCAGGAGAGAGCCCTGAAGGCTGCAGGGTGAGCTAAGGGTCGGAGCAGGAGAAGGCGCCAGTGGGGTAGGCCGGAGGGCCGAAAGCAGCGTTGGCCAGCGCGCCCGGCACAGAAGGTGAGGGTTCGGGGTCCCGCAGGCCCTTGGTGGCATCACGAATTTGTGGCTAGTTAGCAGGGGGAGGCTGAAGGGCTAGCTCTGGAGTTCTGCTCCTTGAGATGGTGGAGAGGGCCGAGGGAGGTGGAGCTAGAAGATTCGGGACCTGGCTGGGGAAGGAGGTAAGAGTCAGGGACCTCACGTGGGGGGTGGGAGAGGGCTGAAGACTGAAAGGCGGAGAAGGAGGAAGGGTCTGAGGAAGCTCTGTGGCTGTCTGTCTCCTTTGCAGGAAGAGCTCTGCCCTCGTGGGGAAGGGGACGCTCCCCAGCCATGCCAGTGGGCATCGGCAGTGAACGTGCGGAACAGGTACATCTACGCAGCCCAGCCGGCGCTCAGCAGGGTCCTCGTGGTGGACGTTCAAGCCCAGAAAGTCCTCCAGGTATATCTCTACAGGAGTGGGGGGATGCCCGGTTCTGGGGTACAGTCTGCCACAGACTTTGCTTTCCGCACACTCCCCAGAGCCCACGGAAGGTGGTCAGATTCAGGGGCAGAGATGATTTGAGTGCCATCACTCAGCAGACACGTTTGCTGTCTGGACAAGCGCTTGGCTAGAGTTTAGCAGAGCCCTGTGGATGAGCAGTCGCATCTAGAAGCGGAATTCAGTCGGGGAAACAGGAAGGACAGGGGAACTTTAAGCTGACCTTTCCTCAGGAGGGGACCAGACCCTGAGAGCTACATGTTCTGCGTGACTTTCTGTCCTGTTAGTCTGTCAGCTACGGGGACGTGTGTAAAGTCACCCACTGAGGTCTCTTTTCCAGGGGAGGGGAGACTTGTTTATTCTCGCAAAGTACCCCACCCTGTCTCCGGCAGAGCTTCTCACCTGAAACCCTACTGCTGTCTACTACTACAGTTTAGCTAAATCGGATTTATTTCGACGAGGTGCCTGCTATGATTTGTTCACCCTTCCACTTTCACACCTTTGTGTTCGTATCCTTAAGGCAATCTGTAGTCTCGCAGGGATTGGGTTCTGGTTTTTATCTGGTGTGATAGTCTTGCTCCTTTACCCAGTTGCTGATCCTTTATGTTGTTTTATGATGAACCTGAGTATTACCCTCTTTATATCTGTTCTGACTAGGGGCTTTAGAGATTCTTAATCTTTCATTGGATTGGGAAATTCTCAGCAATTCCTTCAAGTCACATCTATTTTACTGTCTTATTCTCCCTTTGCTCATCTTTGGGAAGTCTGTTTCACAAAGAAAAGAAGAAAGTTAGACCATCCCATTCCTACATGTCTGTTTCCTTACTTTCCGTCCTTTTTAAACTCTAAAAAGATTTTATTTATTTTCTATAGACAAACTAGGGTGTAGGCCAGAGGTGTGGGGGGGGAGGGGTGGGTGAGAGGCTTCACCAGAGACAGAGCGGGGAGCAGAACAGGCAGATCAACGAAGTACACTGCTGAGAGGAGCAGCGGGGAGACAGGAGAGGTCTGCGGCGCCATGTGGGTCAGCTCCCCAGCTGGGTATGGGGCCTTTGCAGTGATAGCACTGAAACAGCCCGTAGGCCACCAGGAGGCCCCTTTTTAATCTCTATTTCAATTTGGTTATGTTCTACCAACCTGTCTCTTAGTTCATTACTCTTCTGTGTATCTGAAAGGGATTCAACAAAATCTACCATTAATTTCTTAACACAGGTATTGCTTACTTCACTTGTAGAATTTCTGCTTAACTCCCTGTATCGTTCAACAAAGAGTAGAAAGTGAACCCCTTTAATCATGTACTTAGTTGAAGACTGAGTCAAGATTTTTGTAGAGTTTCCTCTGGCTTCCCCCCACTCCTAGCCTGAGGGTGCAGCACCCCCCCACCCCAGTTCCTAGCTGACCGCCTTGCTTCCCCTGTCCATGTCTCTGCTCCTCAGTAACTGAGGCTGTGGGAACTCTGTTCTGATTTTTCCTTCCTCTCTGAAGTCTGCTCTGCATTACCTCAAGATGAGAACATGAAATATGACAGGAGGTGAAACAGGTTAGAAAGAACCAGTCCAAACCTTAGGAGAATGTTGCTGTGGGAAGGGAGGAAAACGGGTGGCTGGGGGAGACGTGTAGTCAAGAGGAATTTTGTTAGAGATGAAACACAAGAAAAGTAGATGCAGGACCCTGACTGAGTCACGGAACAGGGCCAGATCCTGAAGTCTCTGGTAAATGAGAGGAAGGGGCTAGAGAAAAGAATTGGAGGTGGGGGGGGGGAGCAGGTGAGGGGAGCGGGGGATGGGGGGCACTAGAGAGAAACAGCCTCCCTGTGAAGCTTCAAGGGATCAGAGGCTTTAATTAGAACAAGAAATCAAAAAGGCATCTTCAAAGGTGGGGCTGAATGGAGAAGAAATGTATTTTAGCAGGGAGCACGGTGGGAAAGGAAGAGTCAGTTCAGTCAGTGCAGGTGAGCGCCAGAGGCTTGAGGAATGACTTGGGGCCTCAGGATGTGGTGGAGAGTTGTATCCCATCCCGGGGAGGATGCAAGGAGGTCAGGCGACTAGGAGCAGCCAGGAGGCTGCGTGGCCGAGTCAAGAGAATGCCCAGACAGAAGAGTGCCCGCGTGGTCTACTGCTAGGATGTCCAGTGAGAGGAGGCTGGCAGAGTGACCTCTGAATCCGCCAGAACAGCTGCAGCAGTTCAGTGGGGCCACAGATGGGGGGGAGGTGGGGGCAGGACGTTAGGGAGGTGACCTGGGGACTCCATAGCCAGACTTTTGAGACTTTCAACTACAGGAAATTTTCAGGCAGGCGAACAGCGTATTGACCCCGTATTTTACGTCTCTGAGAACAAACCCAGAGGCAGGCTTCTGCTGCGGGTGCCAGGCTCCCCCACCCAGGAGTGGCCAAAACCACCCCCAGCTTCTGTAACAGTGATGACCAATTCGCCACTCTTTCTTTTCAAGTCCATAGGTGTGGACCCTCTGCCCACTAAGCTGTCGTACGACAAGTCGCATGACCAGGTGTGGGTCCTGAGCTGGGGGGACGTGCACAAGTCCCGGCCCAGTCTCCAGGTATGTGGAGCACGTGCAGGCTGGCATCACCCCACAGCAAAACAGAATGCCTCCCACTTCCCTATGGGCTGATCATATATCAGTGTACATCCCTAAAGGCAGGAGAGAGCCTTGGGCCGGAGGCCCCACAGGCAGACCTGCTGTTAAAGACAGTGACACTGAGCCTGTGGCTGCTGGCCCTACATACGCAGGACAGACAGGTGTCGTGGGGCAGGGGCCAAGCATGGAGGCGGCCCTGGAGTCCAGCAGAGATGGGGCTGCCTTCACCTCAGGCTGGAGAACAACATTAGCAAATAAGAAGGAAGCTGCTATGCCCGTAAATGAAAGTGCCTGGGCCGAGTGCGAAGACAGGATGCCTTCACGATTCGCCTACAGACAAACCTACCTGCTGCAGCTGCACTTTGAGCCACAGCTCTGCACTGCCTCCTGGGCAGAGCCTGGGCCCAGAGACCTGTGAAGGTCTCCCCTCCACCATCCAGGTGCTGCCTTTGCCCAGCTCAGCCTCTCTCACCAGGGAAGCAGAGGGCTCAACATTCCCGATGCACAGTAGTTCACTACAGTGTCTGGGGCTGCCGGGGGTTAACGTTACTCTCAGAATCTCATTTGAGAAGATGAGCCAAGCTCACCATGTTCCAGAGACAGGGAGGAGCCCAGGGACACCTGTGTCCACGGAAGCTACCTCCAGAGACCGACGGCCGCCCACCGGCCTCCTTACCCCACACCACAGACACTTCAGCCCTATACTAGGATTATGCCAATCACTTCGCAGATGCCATCATCCTCAGTGAGCTGAAAGCAAGCCGGGGAGGGGGGGCTAAAGCCAGAATAAAGGCCATTCAGAACCTAGTACAAACCCAGAAAAAAAGTAGTACATTTTGTCCGTCCCTCTGGCCACTCAGGATTCATGGCACTTCAGGATTTGTGGACAGGGGCCACCAAAAAATTTCTCCTGTAAACTAAAAATTAGGAAAATCTCCCAATTTTACACTGCTTTAGAGGCACTGAAAACCGCATGCCTTGGACTTGTGGGACTACTGGGCTACTGGGAATCATGATTGTAGCCCAAGATAGAGAGAAAGAAAACCACTCTCAAATCACAGAAGAGACGGAAGTTTCAGGCGTTCCGTCAACAGAAGTTTAAAAAGAGAGTTGGAATGAAGTCAGACATTAAATAAATTTGGAATGAGGTTTCCAAGATGAAGAAATACCTAATCACGCAGATTAAAAGGGACCTGCAAGTCCCAGGCTTGACTGTGAGAAATGGCGCACCTATGCCCTTCCTGATAAACTCCTAGAACTCGAAAAGTTTACAAATTCCAAGTCAGAAAGTTCAAGTTACCTGGAAAGGAGCAAATCGATTGGACTAGTCCTCTGCGACGATAGCTGGCCGAGCCTGGAATCACAGGGCGTCCTCTCCACATCCGAGGGCTGAAATCCAGGAGTCCCACTGCCAGGGAGGAGTTTACCTGTCAGGACAAAAGAAAGGTAAGGAGCTGCAAGGACCGAGAGCCCTGGGTCACAGACCTCCGCTGAGGAGCAGGCCCTCAGGCCCCTGGACGAGACTTCACAGCCCAGAGGAGGCCCTGAGTCACACCCAGAGAAGGGCCACGCTGCAGAGATGATGTCTGGACATGTGCAATTCGGCTCAGTGAGGACATGTAGATTGCGAGACGCACGGAAAGAAAACTGCAGCCCCGGGCTGTGAGTGAAGATTAGTTATTTCAGTGAAAGATTAGAGAGTGGTGGAAAGAAGAGAGAATAAATACTCAAAAATGTCATCCTCGTGGTATAAGGAAGGAGTGACAGTGAACAAAAAGACAGGCTTGAGTGGTCATGTTATTATCAGACGAGGTGGAATTTAAGGTACACTAAATACTGTGAAAAGAGAGAACTAGCCTCAGCAAGCAGTAGTGACTGAGATACCAGGAGAGCCAGATTTAAAATGCACTAAGGGTCTCCATGCCAACGAGAACAGATAATATGGGAAAATCACCTAATTGTATGAAGGACACTGGATTCAATACATCTGTTTGAAATTACCCACCAAATAGTTATGTGGGTTTGTTTTTGTTTTTTTTTTCATGACAACTGACACAGACGTAATAGGTGTATTACCTGATAATCAGACATAACTAAAATGTGACTAAGTAGATTTCACCCTTAGCTAGCTAGCTCTGAGATCCAAGGAGGAATTAAAAGGAAATCACGAGGAAACTTTCTCCTGAAGCAAAGTTCTGCATGAAAAGTATTTGGATTCTCAGCATCTGCAAAGGGAGAATTTGCAGGCTTTGATGTTTAAAGAAATTTAGAAAGAACAAAGTGAGGAGTGAGGAGTTAATAAATGTAATAGGAACAACACAAAATGAACAGTAAATTCAGACACAGATGACTCCTCCCCAAGTCCAGTGGGTGCGGAAGGGCTGTTACTCCAGGACAGGAAGACAGAAGAAATCAGGAAACACTGTCCTGTAACACTGTGGTGGCAAAATGTAACACTCAGAAACAGATGATTGCTTACAAGGCGTGGGCAGATACCACAAGCGACCTAAGCAAAACAAGAACCACAGATGAGCTTTATCACACTTCAATACATATAATATGGAACTTTAATATTATCTGAGTTATCGCATCATATAGATAACTTTAATTATGTGAGTTATCCCAGACTACTGGGAAAATGTATAAGCTCCCTTATTTTAAAGAGCCAGTTTAATTGCAATTATAGCAAGTGATTCGAAGTAATACAAAGTAACTAGTGTAATCCAGGTATGAATACAGAGGTGAAAGTGTAGACAGGCTACTCGAGGGAGGTCGAGGGTGCCAGCACCTCAGTGTTGGGACTGGGAACAAACTCAGGCCTTCAGTCAACACTGTCCACAGCACAGACGCCAACCTATGACATTGTCCGTTCATGCCGAAAAAACAAATGCAGCACACGTTCTTAATTAAAAGGAAAAAAAACTAAAAATAGGAATAGAAAGAGATTCCTTAAATACAGCGCAGGCTGCGTCCCAGAAACCAAGAGCAAATTTTGCCTACGTGACAGAGCAGGAAAAGCACGTTCACTAACACCAGGAATTAGACCATCATTGGAAAGCCTGGGAAGTGCTCTAAGACAAGAAAATAAATAGACCGAACGAGCCTAACTTCATCACTGCGGTGAGGGGAAGGGTGTCGGGGTGTGCCCACACCTGGGAGCCGTGCCCCGACTCCTGTTACCTCGTGTGAGAGGTGTGGAAATGTGAACCAAAAACCACACAACCGTGTGTTTTGACCCAACAGCCTGACTTCTCAGAACTTATCCGAAGGCCATGGTCGTGGCTGTGGGTAAGGATTTATTTAGCTTGGCCCCAATGATGCTTTGCAAACACAATATAGCATCAACAGTCATAGCCCAGTGTCTCTCAGCACCCTACACTGAGGGGTGGGTTCACTTTTGCACTATGACAACATGGAGGTGTCCTGAAGTGAGGCTCACTCCCCCTAGGCCTCCCCCAAGCTGCCACTTTGAACCTTCCGCATCGTCTTGAACCCCGCTCCACACTCTGGCTCCCAGCAGGCCCAGCTGGGACCCGCTTCTCAGTCCACCCTACCTGAACTATCTCCCGTGCTCCCCCGTGTCACTTCTCAGCTGGTCTCGTCTGCCCAGAGGGGGACGCTCAGCCTTCCTGACCCCACACTGACGTGGCCTGCCGTCCAGCCATGCAGACATCTCTGAGCCCAGTCTAGCCAGAAATCGAGGCGCTAGCAGTCAGCCCTGGGCAGAGACACCGGCCAAGAAGGAACTTGTGACTGGCAGAGGCGTGAGCGTGTGGTACCCACATCGGGGTTCTGAATGGTGCTGGAGTGATCTCTGAATGTGGGGTCAGTGGTGAAGTGAGACCGACCCTGACCGCTGGCATCCTGCAGTCTTCTTCTTGATGACAAGCGAAAGGGACAGCAATGTTGGCGTAGCTCCTTGGGATTCTCCAGCATTTTCCCCTGGACCCTCTGAGAGCAGCCATTTCCTCACGCGGATACTTTAACTCCCAGATCGCTAAGCTTTTCTCTCCAGGACTTGCCATGAAAGTGTCATCTGGCCATTATTTTTTCTTAATCACAGGAAAGTAGTCTCGTAGAACGTTAGACCCCGAGACGGGCTGCATCACTCCAGGCCGGCACTCTGCCCGCTGGCCCCGGGAGGGAAGCTGTTCCCACAGACACACACCTCCAACCTGCCCGAGGCAGCGGGCCAGGTGCTGTTTGTTCTGTGATCAAAGTCAAAGCCAGGAGGCAACCCCACTCTTCAGCGGTGGTGGTGTCCAGAGCAGCCACCACGCGAATCTCACCGGAAGCTAGAGACATCTGGGAGCTTCCTCCAGTGCCTGTGGCCACAGTCCCGTGAGCAGGACAAGCATCTCACTGTCCTGTCCAGCCTGCAGCCTCTGCTCCTTTCCTGCTGAGTCTGGGCTTGTCCTTGAGACCCTCAAGCCAAAACTCCCCCAAGCGGACGAGCTTCTCCTTTGACTCAGAACGGCCTGATGACCTACCGTCACACCACCCTGAGTGCACCTCATCTTGTCGGATCTCGGAAGCTAAGCCGGGTCGGGCCTGGTTAGTACTTGGAAGAGAGAGAGGCCTGTCGAGGGGAAACGGCGCAGGACTTGGAAACTGGCAAGCCTGTGCCGAGTCAGGGCACTGAGGCTGCATGGGTGTCGCCTGCCTGCCCGTGGCGAGGGGGAAAGCCCAGCCTGACCAGACCGAGAGGGGCTTCCGGGCGACCACACAAACGCCCCGTGCAGCCCTGGGCTCAGCGTGACACACACACACACACACACACACACACACACCCTACAGGGACACACACACACCCACCCCCTACAGGGACACACGCCAGGGACGGTCCCAGTCACTTCCCGCCAAGACCACAGAGAAGAAGGCGCCACTAGGAGACAGGTGGCCACGCTCTGTCACCACCAATGTGCGTGACACACACACGGCCTGACTCCCCTTCTCACGGCAGATTCCCTCTGGGCAGCAGGAGCTTCTCTCCAGCATTCTGACTGCAGGGCCGGCCGACAGCATGACCAGCGTCTGTGACGGAGCCCTGGGGGCTGCAGGCTGCTCTGACAGATCATGGAGCCCGGCTCTCAAGAAGGCCCCCAACAGCGGGACGCCGCAGGGATTCCCACCAAGTAGGAATTATCAAAGGAAAATGACGAAGCAGTGAATAACGTACCGTTTCACATCTTTGTTAGTAAAAGCGCTTTTCCCATGGTGGGCCAGGTGCTGAACGGTGGGGTCCCCTGAGTAGAACCAGGCTTCAGTCTAGGGCCCTCCCCACAGAGCACCCACGTCCCCGCTCTGCTCCCTGGAGGCTCCCGGCCTCCACGTCCTGGACTTCCCCACCCCACTTGCCCACCCTCACGCCCCAGCAGCTTGTCTACTGGGGGCTTCACCGGGGTACACGCCTGGCTCTGGTGAGCAGCCCCCCGAGATGGGCACCACAGGACTCCCGCTCTGTGTTCTAGGTGATCACAGAAGCCAGCGCTGGCCAGGGCCAGCGTCTCCTCCGCACGCCCTTTGCAGGAGTGGAGGATTTCTTCATCCCCCCGACAAACCTCATCATCAACCACGTCAGGTGAGACCAGCGCCACGCGGCAACACAGCCCTGCGGGGTAGCCTCGCCTGGGGGGCCCCTCTCTCCTCTCCACTCCTGGGCTGGTGGTGGAGCCCAGAGGAAGGGCCCTTGCCCTGGTCTTTCTTTCGTAGTGTTACAGGAGGCACCTCACTCCTTAATGCCTTTAGCAGCCAGTGAGGTCCGGGAGCCGCCTCCTCAAGGTTAAAGCCATGGGAGAAAGAAGGAAGCGACAGTGGTTAATCAAACACCCTCTCCTTGCTGGGCACAAAAAATTAAGAGGTGATCTCGGCCCCTTTCGCAGATGAAGAAACTGCGGTTCAGAGTAGTTGGCCCAGTCAGGAATCCGTGGGGTAGGACAACGGTGAAGCCAGGCCATTCAGCCTCACCACGATAGGGCACCCCATGGTTCCTCTAGGAGCCCCCAGAGTAGCCGTGGGGGGGCCCAGAGGACCAAGCCTGCTGCTTCCCTGGTTTGCCACCGCCCCAAAGAACAGCCGAGGCCTCCGCCGCCGGTCTCCCCAGCCCACCCGCTAGTCATTCAGAGAAGCCCGGCGGCTGTCTGTGAAGGCCCCGCTGCCGGGAGACTGGGCCCTCTGTGGCGCCCAGCCCCAAACATCCTCGGGCACCACCGGTGCCGCCCTTCAGCCTGATACCAAACACCTTTCTCCAGGAAGACAGGACTCATTTCTCAGCCCACGCCACAGCATGCCGCCCACGCAGGGCTTGTTCAAGCAGGACTCGCCCACTCCACCAAGGAAGAAAATAAGCACTTCCCGACACCCCACACACCCCGAGGGTGCCCGGGGAGAGCCTTGGAGGTGACTCTAGACGGGAGACCCCTCGACGCTGCTTTGTTCAGGCAGCAGTTGGGCACTGCAGAGGGGCTGGAGGGCCTGCACGCGGCCGGGCACCAAGTTGCCCTCCACGTGGGGTTTCTCTGCTGCTCTTCCACTCGGGCTCTGAGGGTGCTTGAAAGCGCTTTCAAGTGGGAATTTTCCCCACTCCGAGGCAGTTATTCAAGTGAAAACTGCGGAGGGGGTCGTACTCCGTTTCTCTAAGAGAACGTGGTGCCAAGGCCTCTCTCTGCGGGCAAAGGATTTGGGCGAGCCTGTCACGCGCAAGGGGTCCTGCCTGGGGTCAGACCTTCCTGCAGCTTGCAGCCAGCCACGCAGGGGCCGTCACAAAGCCCAGATGCGAGGGGCCACCCCGTACCGAGCTGGCTCCCTCCTAGGAGCCAACCTGCCCTGCAGCCCCCCATGGAAACTGGGGCTCCGGAGGCAAGCGCGTGGCCCAGGGCTGCAGCTAAAGCTGTCTGGTGCGGCTGTGTGGGCTAATGGGTGGGCCCCAGCCCCCACGCCTGGCCAGAGGCAGCCCTCCACTCCCTCTACCCCCCGCATCCGGAGCGCCACTAGGACAGCGGTTCTCATTTGTCCTCAAGTTCTCACGCTGCACTTTGCCCAGAAAACGGCCAGGACAGGCTGTGCTGCCATGGACAGGCAGGTGGCCCACCGTCCTCTCTCCAGCTCAGGCAGGCCCTCTGCTCCCCAACTGGCTTGGGGTGCAGGGAGGAGGCGCGCAGGCTTCCCAGGAGGGCCCGGGGCTTTGCAGGCTCTTTTAGCCCCTGCTTCACGCTTCTGAAGAGTGTTTGTAACACGACCACAGCCCTGGCGGGAAGGTAGATACTAACAGGCTACTAGATCACTGAGCGGTGACCCGGCAGGGAAAGAAAACGGGCGGATCGTGAAAGAGGGGTGCCAGGCCGCGGCCCTGCTCTCTGACCTCCCTTCTCCCCCTCCCAGGTTTGGCTTCGTCTTTAACCAGTCTGATCCTGTTGTCCACAAAGTCGACCTGGAAACCTTGATGCCAGTCAAGACCATTGGCCTGCAAAGCCACCGCTGCGTGCCCCGGGCCATGGCCCACAGCCACCTGGGCGGCTACTACTTCGTGCACTGCCGCCAAGACACCCCCTCTCCCGGCGCCCCGCAGCTGCTTCTCGACAGCGTCACGGACTCCGTGGTGGGCCCCAACGGCGACGTCGCCGGCACCCCACACACGTCCCCCGACGGGCGCTTTGTCGTCAGCGCCACTGCCGGCCCCCGACTGTATGTGCAGGAGATCACCGTGCGGGGGGAGATCCAGACCCGCTACGTCCTGCAGGTCGGCCAGGCCGTCTCGGACGTGGCGTTCCAGCACTCCTTCACCGAGGGCGATCAGTACTACGTCTACGCCTCCCTGCAGGCGGCTCCCGACCTGCTCTTCCTGGAGCTGTCCACGGGGAAGACGAGCCTGCTCAAGGACTTGAAGGAGCCGCCCTCAGGGCCGGGCCAGCCCTGGGGAGGACCCCGCAGGCCGGTGAGGGACAGCGGGCTGTTCGGTCAGTACCTCCTCACGCCGGCCCAGGAGTCGCTGTTCCTCATCAACGGGAGACAAAACGCACTGCGGTGTGAGGTGTCAGGCGTTAAGGGGGGGACCACGGTGGTGTGGGTGGGCGAGGTATGAAGGCGTCCCGAGCCGAGCCCCGGGCCAAGGAGCACCGAGTCCCGACACCGCAGCCCCAAGCAGGCGCACTGTACATTTTTTACGGACAAAAGCAAAAACCTGTATTCGCTTTATGGTTCAACACTGGTCTCCTTGCAAGTCTCCTAATCTAAGGTATGCGCTGCTAACAAGATTGGGGTTTTTTCATTAGGAAGTATGATTTATGCCTTGCGCTACGACGAGAACGCACAGGCCGTGTAAAGGGATCATTTCTGTGCCCGGCCCCACGCCATGTTTCCTGGGAACGCCGTGGAACGAGAGCTCCTGCTCAGCAGGCCGACACTTCTGCCGGTTGCCTTCGCGTCGTCACCCACCGGAACCGCCAGCCCCAGCTGGACCTCCCCGCCGGGAGGGGCCGGCGCCGGGAGCGGGGCTCCCTCCTGCCCTGAGAACCACCCCTGCCCTGGCTCGGGCCTCCTCGCTGCTTCACAACTGCTTCTTGCTTTTCGTTCCGAACCATGTTGACTTGTAAGCCTGAGGGAGAGCCAACAAGACTTACCACATCTTGGGGCACGGGGAAATCACTCACTTTATTTTGGAAACTGATTAAAAAATAATTTTTTATAATCGCCAATGTGAGTCAGCAGAAAGACACTCTGCGAAGTCCAGCTGTGTTCTCCCCTGCCTTAGGCCGGGGCTCTGAGTCACACCCCGTACCCCACAGCCAGAAAGAAGACAATGGTCAGCAAAGAATAACGGTCCTCTGAACCACTGACACCCCGACGTGCAGATCAGGCCACACCCTGAAAGACTCCATGCTGGGTTGGGACACCAAGATATCAGGACAAACCCTGTGTGCCTGCTTTTCACCACTGAGAGGAGACATTTTCGTAGCCAACCCCAGAACCCCACATTCGGGGCAGACTGGGCTCGACTGGCCTGGCGATGTGTAGATGGCCCGCAGACAAAGACCGCCAGAGTCCACACAGAAACCCCCCGACCAAGACTGGGCTAGGCCACCCCTTCTATAGACCACTTTCTTTCCTGTCGGTGGCCCTCCCACTTGGCTCCAACCCCTCAGGCCCTGCATCTTCACGACCTGGCCAGAGTAGTGCCATGTTTCTTACACCAGGCCGCTCTCTCCTGCACATCCACTCCAACACTCCAAACCAGAGGGCTGGGGCTGGCCGGCAGCCGCAGGTAAACTTGCAGTTAGCACCTCCGCCAGCCCTGCACAGACAGCCGGGGCCTGGGGGTCTCGGGAGACTGGGCTCCCCGAACACCCCTGTTTCTCTCAGTCGCCTCAGTGGCCGAGACACATCGATGCTTTCTGGCTCAAATGATTGTGTGGGGAGAGGGGCCCCTTCACCAGCCCAAGTGACCATGATTTCCTGTGCTGTCCAGGGGTGACCCCGCCCAGGGAAGGAGACCTGGCCCCTGCCTCATCACCACACGGCTCCTTTCAGCCCCCTCCCCCCCCAACACCCCCCCAGCCCACAATTCCTGAGCTCAGCCACCCTCTGTGTGCCTCACGCCTCCAGACCCCCAGGAGTGTGCCCACACGTGTACATTCATATTTTTTGGATATTTTGAAGGTGAAATAGGTAGAAGAAGGTTGAGGAACCAACCTCTAAGCCCATCCTTTGGCTCCCCGGTGGCCGGGGTGGAGGGCTGATACATGTCTCCCTTCCTTTTGATCCCTGCCTCAGTATCCTGACACCTGTACTCCCAAACTTACTCACCAGAATTCTCCAACTTTCATGACCCTTTGGAAAAATCTCCCTGGCAGAACGAGTCTCTGAGCTGAAGTAAGGAAAAGCCCAGCAACCACGGAGCTGGTGGGCTGACCCCCAGGTCCCAGGTTCCCCCAAGGCCAGCCCTGGCCCAGCCTCCACCCCCGTCGCCTCCACCGCGTCTGATCCTTCTCCACCATTCCTCCCCCTTCGGAGTGTGAAAAGCAGAGCTGCCTCTCACTGTCCTCGCTGCACAGTTACTGGACATGTCCACCTGTCACACACAGTGGGGGTGGAACAGGAGACCCAAGGCCAGGAGTCCACGTCAGAGGTCTCCATACCGGGAGGCGAACTCACAGCCCGGAGGGGAGGTGCCTGCTGCTCCTCCCGGACTACTCCCCAGAGGCTGCCGGGCTGTCCCGGGCGCCCCAACCTGAGGACTCACCTGGCCGGGGGAGGCCCCGCGGCCAGCGCAGAAGACGACCACCAGCAGACACTTCACTCCAAAGAAGAACCCGTTTTACCGAAAGAACCGCCCAGGAGTCACTAACATCAGGAACCTGCTATTTCACAAGCACTGGATTTGGAAATATAAATTTCACAAAAGTTCAACAGATTTTTTTTTTTTCTAGAATAACCACAAATAATCAACACCTGTGGGATGTTAACGCTGTGCCGTGACGGCCTGGGCAGCGAAACCTCCTCTGACCTCACGGAGGTTCTGGGTCCAAAATCCCACCTGGCCTCCACCGACGGATGGGAGGGAGGAGGATCTGTCTGCTGCTGGGTCACTGTGTGGACAACACGCCGTGGCAGCCCCGACCCAGCGAGCCCTCGCCACGACTGGCCCAGTCACCGGCGGGCCCTTCTGTTCCCCCCAAACACGCTGGGAGAGAGGCCTGTGAGTCCCGGCTGGGACCCACCACTGATAGCAGCTTCAGGACTCTTGAGCCAGAGACAGCAGCTCAGTCCCGGCCACCCCACCTCCGTCGGCTGGTTTCCCCTGTCCCTGCTCCACTGTGCAGAAAAGGGCTCCCAGCTCCGGGGACGCACCCTGGAGCGCAGCTTACAACCCCAAATAAAGCAGAGACCCTGCCTGTCGCCCAGAGACCCTGCCTGTCACTGCTGAGCAAGGAAAGCAGCTGGGTTCGCTCAGTGTGGCCACACTTCTCGTTTTCTGTTGACCAATAACCTGTGAACTAAAGGGGATTTCAGAACTGAGATGTGAAACAGATTCACTCTGGATCTATTTTTCTACAAGGGGCTTTAAAAGTAGCCGATTCATTTCTCACCACGTGTTTCATTCAGACACCCTGGATGCTGAGCCCTTGCCTCCCCCCGGCCGCCGCACCCTCCTCTTCGGAAGCCAGCACCCTGCTCCCTGCCCCCTCCGCCCCACCCACTGATCTACCTCACATTCTCCCTGCACCCAGCACCACCAGACCGCCCCCGTGCCAGGAGGCAAGGCACATGACACAGGTCGACGACTGAGGCACGGAGGCCTTTGCCAGCTGCCCCTGGGGACCCCTGCTCCCAAGGCAAGTGCGGTCACAGTCCACGGAGACACAGCTCCGTGCTGCCCCTAGAGGTCACTCGCCTGGAGCCAGGTGACCGAGACGAGCGAGAGCCCAGCCCTGATGTCAGGCAGAAGCAGAGCCCGTGCGTCTCAGCCAAGCCTCAGCCCTCTGCCATCTCCCTGCATCTGCATTTCACCCTGCCCTGCCTCCCCGCTCCCATGCTCGGGAGCCTGGCTGAGCCCCCATAACTCCAGGAGCACGGACCTGACCGCCACGCCGGCCCCCCCACGGTCTTTGCCACGCTGCTCCCCGGCCTCGGGGTCAAGAGGGAAGTTGCTCCTAGAGCCAGATGCTACTTTTTGCTTCCAGACTGGCATGTGGACAAAGCAGTTTTGTTCAAGAAAGTCACTAGCTGCCTTGGTTTCTCTCCAAATCACAGCTCACAGGCCAGAGGTGCCTGAAAGCATCCAGGGCGAGACAGACCGTGCCTGTCCCAAGGACAGTGCCTCGTAGCCACAAGGCCCCAAGTACCCGGTGGACCGTACACCACGTCCTGCTTTTGTCCCTACCGGGTCACGAGCCACATCACCTGAGCATCTCGTCAGGGCCGCAGGCTCTGCACCCCGCAGATCAGAGGGTGCAGCAAGCCCTGTTCCACGCATCCTCCTGAGCTGAGGGCAGCAGTGGGGCTTTAACCAGACACGATACTTTATGGGAAACAGGGAGGCAGGGGTTATCCTCCAAAATTCACAGTGAGGCCGCTGAAGCCGGTAGTGGAGCGCGTCGCATGTACGATTTTTTTTTTTTTTTGGACAAAGCCACAAATCACATACCACGCTTCCCAAGTCCACCTTGACCAGGGAGGGCCCCTCCCTTACCTCGTGGCCCCAGAGAACATGAGCATGCCCTGGAGGGCCCTCGCGGGTTTGGCTGCACTCCACAGAGCAATAACCGTGCCGCCCCCACCCGCCCACGCCGAGCGGCCCTCCCTGTCAGCGCGGGCAGTGAGCATCTGCCCTGGAGGGAGCCTCCCGGGGTCCAGAGCTTTGTTGATGAGGAAGGCGCTAAGTCGAGGCTGGCTCCCCGGGGCCCAAGAGCTAGGTCCCAGACGAGAACACTTCCTAAATCTAAACCTCCTCGCACTTCCTGGCGGCACCTGCCAGCTGCTTTCGAGTGAGGGCCAGCAGGCCTGCGAGCTGCCCACCCCGGGCCCTCGGCACACCCATCGGTGTCCCCCAGCCGCACCCTCCCTGTAGCTGGCCAGCCCCCTCCCACCCTGGCCAGGCCTGCCGGGTACCCCTCTGCTCCCCACGCTGCTCGGGCTGCCGGAAGGGAACACGACGACCCCACAGCAGAACCAGGCGTGGAGTCTTGCTGGTGGTCACATACACTGAGTCATGCTGTAGCGGAGCTGAATGACCCTCAAGGTGGAAAGCCACGCACACCACTTGTCCACGTCAGCCTCACCCTCCCCCACCTCAGAAAACTCTTGGATCTCTTCATGTCAAGGCAGAGTACATTATTTTGAGCAGTTGTGTGGACTCCAAAATATATTTTCTGTAATCACTGGTATTTCGCTAAAAGGCCTCCTGTAATTACTATACATGTGAATTTTTCCTTATTTATAAAATATATATAAATTATTTTTAATACATCAACTTTAGTAGAAATTTGTACCAACACAGTTAACTGTACGTGGCATTTGGAATAAGTTCGTGTTCAGTTGCCCTGTTCCCCAGTATCAGACACACCATGTATGTGCAGTGCCACTTGATATAAAGATGATTCGCAAATTATCACCAAGTAATGTCATTGTAAATGCTCTTTTTCTGAGGATTTTACAATAAAATCTGAGAAAAGTTATCTTTTTCTACCGCCAATCTGTGGACAGTTTCAGAGCGAGCCCTGATGGGGGAAAGAACCCTCAGGGGCTTGTCCCCATTCTCATTTGCCATTAGGGGTTCATGACAATCAAAGCGAAACAACCCCTGCTCTGGCCCTATGGCAGGACTGCTGGACAGATGGAGCCCCCAAGCCCATAGCCCCTCTCCCCACGTGTGAAAGGATCAGCTCCTAAAATACACAACTCATATCTGCTTCAAAACTTCTCATCGCTTCCTTATCCTGCCAGGCCTGTAAAATTCCCTCACACCCCAGACTGAAACCCAGTCTTAACTCCAGTCCCTCTGGGTTCTCATTCTCAGAGACGTCCCACCTAGGGTGTGGGTCACCCACCAGCCACTAGATGGCGCACCCACCCCGTGTCTGGACTGTTTGGGGGCTGGAGGG